TCCGCCATGGTATGGTTCAAAGACGATGTAGGTTGTTGGGTATATACGGTCGCTGCGAAGAATACGTCAGGGCGTCTTGTCGTTTTCCGGGGTACGGCACGGCACAGCAGAAATCGAACAACCGTTCGACAGCAGCGCCCGCTTGCTTTCAAAAACGCATCACATTGAGGCGACGACCTTGTCCGAGTTTTTCATCGTTGCATGTGAGGGAGGGAGATGGCGACCAAAAAGGTTGAGGCGTTATGTCGTATCCTTCTCCGGGGGGCACTTGGGATGCTGCTTTCACCATGTTCGTGATGGGAGGGTCTTGAGCCCTGTGAGCCACCCCATGCCGTCCAAGGTCCTCACACAATCATTCGACTGGTCTCCTTATACCCGTTTGGGAGGGAAATGGGATTCGGGACGGTGGTTCCCCTTCCCGGTCTGCACGTAGGGCCGCTGCCGGCACTCTCGCTCGCCTTAAGGACAGTCCAAATATCATCGAACGTCGCTGGAAGATGGGGTCAGATCTGTATCAGGGGCAGCAGACATCAGAGATCTGATCTTTCTCGTGGAGGGGTGACGCCTATCTAAAAAAAAGAGACTTTCTTCTTGGTGACGTCTGCGATTGACTCTGCTGCATGCTGCCCATGTCCAGCAGCACTTGCCTGCATCTGTAGATCCCCCTACGGTTCCCATTCCCCCCATTGCTCTTCTTCCCACCGCCCTTTCCCACACGGCTCGACTACTCCAACAACAAAAACTTTCGATTATCCGATACCAAGCCCCTCGCTCTGCTCCCATGGCTCCAACCACAACCACCGGGTCTGCTGCCGGCAGCCCTTCGAGCATCGTCGCCGCACCGGCTTCCTCGGAAGGTCGCATCATTGTGGTCACTCACCACCTGCCTTGGACCGCCTCGACGACCTGCGGCGTAAAGTCGGAACTGCGTGGAAACGGCATCCGACCTGTGGTCCTCGGAAAGTCCGTCTCCTCCACTGCGACCACCCCAACAAAGTCAAAGGGTCCGCTTGGCGAGCCACCTGCAGCGTGCGACGATAGCGAACCTTTCTGCAAAGCGCCGGGAGACACGGTACCCAATGGACACTGGAAGTTCCTCGAGCGCCGCGGCCATTCGGCCGTGTACTCTGGAATCAACTCCCTGAAGACCCACGAGGTCATCCACGTCGGATGGACTGGATCCACCTACGACGACGATTGCTACCCGCTGGACGCCGCTTCCCTTACGCCCGAACTGCAAGACTCGCTTACCTCGGAACTGTGGGAAGCCGAAAAGTGCGTTCCTGTCTTCCTCGACGAGAAAACGGCCGCAGGTCACTATGAAGGATACTGCAAGACCGGTAAGCTTCTCAGCTGCCATCCTCGGAAACACCGTATGTTCTCAACGTCCATCCATGTCTAGATCTCTGGCCACTGTTCCACTACATCCTCTGGGACTTTGCTTTGGATGCTAACCCTCATGATTCGAACTCGTGGGATGAGTACGTCTCCGTGAACCAGAGCTTTGCCGATGTCATTGTCAAGTCTTACAAGCCCGGGGACGTCAGTGAGTGGCCGTCACCGGTCGGGCTTGGCCGAGGTCAGATTTTAACGCCAACCTCTCAGTTTGGATTCACGATTACCATCTCCTGCTCGTTCCTTCCATGCTCCGTCGCGCACTTCCGGAAGCGACCATCGGCTTTTTCTTGCACACGCCATTTCCTAGCTCGGAGCTTTTCCGATGCCTGCCAAGTAAGTGCCGTCTTGGCTTGCGCGCGGTAGCTAGCTCTCTCGTGCTGACGTCGCATTGCAGAGCGAAAGGAGATCCTCATGGGTGTCCTGGGGTCCAGCATGATCGGGTTTCAAACGTACTCTTACGCCAGGCACTTCCTGAGCAGTTGTACCCGAGTGTTAGGTCTGGAATCCACGCCGAAGGGCGTCGATTTTGGGGGATCAGTGGTGTCCATCCACATCTTCCCCATCGGAATCGATCCGCTGGAACTCCAAATGCGCAGGTGATTTTTTCCTGCCAGACAGTCCGCTTTACCTCTGGGCCTAATGCTTTTATCTCTATAGAAAACAACCGGCCGTTTTAGAAAAGATGGCGGCTATCAAGGAAATGTACGCTGGAAAGAAGATCATCATTGGCCGCGACAAGCTCGACCATGTTAAAGGCGTACAGCACAAGCTGAACTCTTTCGAAAAGTTCCTCACAATGTACCCGGAATGGCAAAATAGGGTCGTTCTGATCCAAGTGACCTCTCCGCCAGAACGCGAGTCTTCGAAGCTAGAGTCCAAGGTATCGGATCTGGTGTCTCGCATCAATGGAAGCTTCGGGACCTTGGAATATGCCCCCGTACACCATTATCACCAGCACCTCGACCAGGATGACTATTTTGCTTTGCTCAGTATAGCCGACCTCGGACTCATCACTGCCGTCCGGGACGGCATGAACACCATGTCTCATGAGTTTGTGGTTTGCCAGCAAGAAAAGCGTAGTCCTTTGATTCTGAGCGAATTCACTGGAACCGCCGGCTCCCTCAGTGCCGCTACATTAGTCAATCCTTGGGACTACCAAGGCGTTGCCGTGGCCATCAACGAGGGCCTCACCCTGAACAAGGAGGAAAAGTCGATCAAGCATCAGCAGATGTACGACCATGTCGCGAGCAACACGGCCGCGTTCTGGGCTGCGTCCTTCGTCAAAGAGCTCCGTGCGGCTTCCGCAGCGCCGTCTGCGACCAACACTACACCCCTGCTCGATGTTTCCCTCGTCGTCGAGCGATACAAGAACGCGAAGAAGCGTTTGTTGATGTTCGATTACGATGGAACCCTGACGGCCATTCGCCAAACTCCCGGGGCTGCTGTTCCGCCGCCAGAGATGCTCAGGGCCATGCAGGTCCTTTGCGACGATCCCAAAAACGTCGTATTCATCATTTCCGGTCGTGACGAGGCTTGCCTTGACGACTGGCTAGGTGGTGTGAAAGGACTTGGACTCAGGTACGCCGCCGCGATGGATGCACCCCCTTGCTGCCTCTCGCTCACTGCCTTTCGCCTCGTTTACTTAGCGCCGAGCACGGCTGCTTCATCAAGTACCCGAACGCTGACGGACCCGCGGAGTGGGCCAACCTCTCCGAAGATATTGATTTCTCGTGGAAAAACGAGGTCACGGAAGTCTTCGAGTACTACACGGAACGTACGCAAGGCTCCTTTGTGGAGCACAAGCGTTGCTCCATTACATGGCACTACCGACTGGCTGATCCTGAATACGGGTAATGGCTTAGACCTTCCACTGATCGCGGAAACGTACCTCAGCCTTCTAACCGTATCTCCGATCGCAGAGAGTTCCAGAGTCACGAGTGTATGAATCACTTGGAGGGTTCCCTGCTCTCCAAACTCCCCATCGAAGTTCTGATCGGAAAGAAGAACCTCGAGGTAAGTCAAATACCGGCACGTTCACATTGTGTTTCGGGGCGGAAACCCTTGTCTCACCACGCTCCCTCCCCGTCCTTCTAGGTCCGCCCCATTTCAATCAACAAGGGCGAGATCGTCAAGCGACTCGTGTCTCAAAACCCGGGAGTCGACTTTCTGTTCTGCGCCGGCGACGATCGGACGGACGAGGACATGTTCAAGCAGGTCCGCAAGACGGACCTCTCGGACGACGTTCAACACAACTGTACGATCGGATCCGCCGAGAAGAAGACGAACGCTCAGTGGCACGTACCCACACCCGAGGACATCGTCAAGCTCATCGTCGAGCTGGCCAAGGTATAGAAAGCGAGAGAGAGAAAGAGACAAAAGAATAGGGAAAATGCAGGAAAACCCGGGGGAGGCGACGTCAGGGACGCGGACGCGGACGTTGGGATCCCACCTTCCTTTTTCCTACATGTAAATATTCATCTTGAGGCCATTTGATTTCCCCTTTCATGTGCGTGCCAGGCGGTTACATAATGCATTCCAGCACGTCTAGGCAATTGTGAGCAGGGGATTACACCGTACCGCGCACAGCAGTTTTTAACAGCGGGAAAAGGAAAGAAAAGGCAGACTCTTGCACCATCGTCAAGAGAACGGCTGCTTCCACCTCCGTGTGGCTGGATCCATCCGTTTCCGATGTTTTCATTGGAATCCGCAGCCATTCAAGACCAAAGAACGTAGACTGCCGATCACTAAATCCCGTCTTGCTGGAAGGATCCCGTCCATTTTTTTGACCTTTCTGCCATAAAACTGACTGCGACAGCTACAACGAGGTTCCGGACCCCAGTCTAGGGATCCTACCCGCGCGGGATGGGACGGGAAATGCCATTCCCGCATCCCGTCCCGCAGACTGCGGGATCTCCCATGGGATTTCCCGCTACTTGCGGGATTTCTTTGCAAACATGACGAGCACAATTCCGAGCAATTTATTCATCAACTACAGCATACGCTTTTGTTCCCAGCTCTGCAAGCACATCAGAGCCTCCATGTGAGGTTCGGAAAGGCGACTCTGTGATGATCCGGTGCCCGCCTGACCCGCATCCCGTCCCGCCCCGCATCCCGCGCGGGATTCCCATTTCCCTCCCGCGCGGGTAGAATCCCTAGACCCCACTCCAGCAAATGTACAAGCCCGAACGCAAGCTGTCTGTCGAAACTGCCCTTGGTGGTCGGGTCCTTGGCGGGTCCTTGCCCGTGTAGATCCCCAAAAAACCCGCATCTCGAGAGAGAGGCATACGCATTTCAAAGAGCATGGATGCCGTGGCGGTAGCCTTGTGAGTTGCAGTGATTGGGAAGGATGGCAGTTTTCGACAGAAGAGTCAGGACTTGAAACCACCCCACAAAGGAAACCAGGGCAGACCGAAGCAGGAACTGAGCTTGCCTTGTTCTTTGTCAAGCATAATGGGAGGGATAATGCCGGGGGAGAAAGAGGTGCTGGCAGAGCGGGTTGTAGCGGCCGGTGAAGCGCTCACGCCGAGCGCGGTTCCAGTATATGGTGGTATGATTCCTGGCTGAGGGTCAGGTTGCGGGAGAGGAGGGCCAGAGATCAAGTTCGCCTGTTGGTCTAGTGGTATGATTCCTGCTTCGGGTGCAGGAGGTCCCGAGTTCAATCCTCGGACAGGCCCTGTAACATTTTTGCAAGTTTTCTTTGCTTTGTCCCTGCGCTGCTGCACTTTGATCGTCATGCAGAAGTTACTGCCGGACGTGGTCGGGCAACAGAGGGGAATTCCGACGGCGGGCAACATGTTATTTCGTACAACAGACACCTCCCGAGGCGCGCGGCCTGCAGGCCGCGCGTTACGGTCGCCAAGGGCGACCGTTTAGTACCAGCGGCTGGCGCCGCTGGTAACCGCTGGTAAGCTTGGCCAAGACGCCAGGGGCAACAAAAAACGAAGGCCAGCCGTACCTAAAAGAAGACGGGGAGGAGCCAACGATCTTGCGCCATTGCCACCGACCATTCCCTGGGGGCGACCCAGCAAACCACTCTCGATGGCTTCTTCGGCAAGGCCTCGTGCCTTGGAACGGCAAAGGAGGGAGGAGGGCACGAACTGCGGAGCTCGCCAGGACGAGAAACACCTCAACTTCTTAGCAGAGAATACGGGGTCCTACTTCTTATCATATGGTTGTCCTCTTGTCCCTGATGTTGTTGGCCTCTTCTCTGTAACATGGCAGGTTGTATGCCTGTGTTCGGGCTTCCCTGCGCATTCTCAACATTTGAGGCATCAAACGCTGCCGCTTGCCAGCCTGCGCCCGATCGCTGTCAAGACTACGACGCGATCTGACAATGACCCCATGTCGAGCCAATTTCAGCGTCATGCATTTTCTTCCTTCTACCTACAGTGATATCCTCAATATTGTTCCGCCATGATGAGCGTGATCAGCGCCGTCCATCCCGTGAACGGGTGCGAGCGCTTCCCTTGTCCGTCTTCCGCCCCATACTGCTCCCACACGTATCCGGTCCTCTGATACTCCTTGAAGACGTTCTCGACGACGTTCGTGCGGAGGTTCGTGTAGATACGTTGCGCCTGCTGTTGGCAGGGTCCAGCGACGTGCGCGTAGCTCTTGTGAAGACTGCTGAGGATCAGGTAGTTGATGTTGACCCAGATGGGTCCTCGCCAGTAGTTTTCTCCCGTTCCAAAGTACGGGTCGTCTTGGCTCAGGGAAGCGATGCCGTACGGAGTCCATAGGTGGTTCGGGTCTTCGATGAGATCGAGGATGGGCTTCAAGCGCGGCGAGTCGGCGGGGAGAAGGCCGAGGAGAAGTGGGAATAGGCTCATGTAGCCCTTGTGAACGACGTGGACGGAAATTCCTGTGACGAAGCAAAAATGTCAGCGATTACATATGACACTCACTGACGCAGACTCTATCCTACCTCGCTCATCGATGGTAAGATCGGTAAACGATGACGACTTTGGGTCCCAGTGCAGTTCTGATTGTGAGGTGAAAGTCAGATGACTTTGTACCGAACATACAGGTAAAGCAACAAACTCACCCTCAAGACTCGCCAATTGCACCTCCAAATCATCCGAGAACATCTTGGCGTCCTTCGTCTCCCCAAGCTCTGTTGCGATTGTTTTCAACGTTTTGGCATAGAACGTCACCCACGATAGCAAGTCCACATGCAACTCGCCAGCATGCGGGGAGGGCCCTCTTGGATAATCGTCCAGCCCTGTCGTCCAGGCAAGGCATCGGCGGTTAGGACGGGCCGCGGTCATCAGCGGACACATCCGCTCTCGAGCTTACCACTTGTCAGGGTATGAGTCTCCTTTCGCCCGCGCCATCTATACCCCTCTCCTGAACTTCGCCGTCCGCCTGTGGTAACGTCTCCCCACTGCGTCTCCCGGAACCACTCGTATTGTAGTTTCAGCTTTGGATAAACAGAGTTCAGAAACTTGCCAGCGAGCTCCTTGTCGTGCAGATGACGGTTGCGGAGCACATTAATTTCCGAGCTCGATCCGATTGTCTCCGATGACACTGGGGTGAAAAGGCTTAGGTCGTTTGCACTGATATCTCGGCGGATGAACGCGGACTTACAAGATGCAAGGGCTTGATCGGCAGAAGAGAGGCGCTCCATGTACTTCATGAAACCCATAATCAGCGTCGGCGGATTTGCAAAGTGAGGATACTGCGTTTGGAACTCTTGTGGGACCTGTAAAAAATAGTAAGAACTCTGTAGCAATCGTAGCTTTGATTACCCGAGTTTTTGCCCACCTTGCTCCGAGCTTCGTCCCCAAGAATCTGTTCACGCCCCACCCATCCCTTCTTGTCAATCAAGGATGTCCAGTGAGAAAGGATGTCGAGGCTGAATAGAATAGCGATTTAGAAAAAAGGTTCTGGGAAACGCATACAGGCGACACTGCGCACCTGAGATCGTTATCCCAAGCTCCAATCAGTAACTGATGGAACCCTTCATCCCTGCATCTGCAGTTAGTTGGAGCGTCCGCACGTCCCGCATGCCTTTCGACTTTGACATCCACCTACCAAAGAAAGCCCCGAGGGAAGAACGGCCGCGATGGGACTGCAGTGAAGAGAGATGTTGGTCCTTCCAGTTTCGGCGCCGGCGCAGGTCGCTCAGCCGCTTTGGACTTGGACTGCCCGCCATCAAAATAGTCGGAATCCTCTTCCTCCTCTGGACCATCTTCGATGAAGTCGACAGGCTCTGTCTCATCCATGCCCTCAAGGGCGCGGTCGACGATACTGGTACCGTGAAAGTAACCGAGTCCCCCCAACATGTTCCCGAGGAGAGACTGGGCAAAGGAGATACGATCCTCGCTGTATCCTTTCGCTTGAAGATGAAATGTCTCCTCGAATCGGTTATCGAATTGAGCAGCCGCCGCGTCTAAACGCTTGTCGAGCGCGGCGCCGGACAATTCCGCAGCATCCGAGGCTACGAGCGACTCATCGTGTGACCGTGCTGACCCGGACAAGAAGACAACATCGAACTGGAACGGCGTAGAGACCATCTTCTGGAACATGACCAGATTCGGTTTCTCCTCCGGGTTATCCTCCACAGCAAAGATGTGCGCAGGGTGGGGATATGGGCTGGTATATGTGTTGATGCGGCGCTGAGCAACTTCAAGGAGATGCTGTTGCAAGAGCTCCTTACTCTTCCAGATGTGCTCCTGCGGCATCCGATACTTGGTAACAAGAGTCTTCGAGATGTCGGGGAGGTCGTACGTGTCCGGATATGGAGGTGTCGCAGGTGCCTTGGTATGGGCGCCGTCGACGATTGTTACCATGAAGTCACCGAGTTCCTTCGAATTGCCGCGAAGGATGGGTTCGGGCCCGGACCGGTCGACCGACAGCTCTCCGTTTCCGTCCAAGGTCACGTAAAAGACCAGCGATACATCCGTTTGATGGTTGGCGTCCAGCGCTTCTCCCGAGACACGAACTGACCAGTCGCCACCATGGTCCCCACCGGGCGACTTGAAGTATTCATTGCGGATGCCAACGCGGTTGAGGTTGTCCGCAATCTCCTGGGAGCCATACGAGCGCCCATCGTGCTTCTGCCAAGCATATCCGGAGAGATCATCGCCCTGCTCGCAAGTATGGCGGATGTTCTTCAAGGTTTCTCCCGACACTTCGTTAACACCGAACCACATCAACCCCGTCATGAGCGTTTCGGCGCTCCGCGTCCGTGTCCCAACTGAATTGACGATCCGCACGATTAATTTATGCGATACCTTATGACTGCCATTCGGTCCGACTTACAGTACAAGTTCGGCCGGTAACTCCCCCAAAAGAGGGATTGGTTGGCGGCAGCATGTGCCTGGACGAGGTGCTCGGCTGACGCGGAGGAGACTTTGGGATGCCCACCGAACGCTAGGAGGATCACGAGCAGATTCCAGGGACGCATAGCTCCCATCTTCCTTCAACTCTATGAATCGGAGGATGAAGCGCTCGCGGAGAATGCTCCTCTGGTCCTGCTGCAAGAATTGGGAGATCTTGCAGTAGCAGAGCTATCCAGTCACCGTGACCGCTTGCCGTGTTGTCGGAGGCAACCTGGCTCCGAGCGAGCCCCATCGTCTTCTTTCTCCTCGCACTCGCTACCACCGACACTTGCAAGAACTGATCTCCAACCCCGGCCTTTCCCACCGTCCAGCATACCCCTCCCAGCCATGCCCGCCGCAGAACTCGCCGATGCAACTCCTCAGAACGTAGCTTCCCCGCAGCAGCCGGGCGTGCCAGACACGGCCCCAGCCTGCCCGTCGACTCGCCCCATCAACGTGAGAGAGGGCAGGGCACCAACGACCACCTAATTTCCTAGTCAGTTCTAACTTCTGCCTCGCTGCGTGCCAATAGATCCACCACATTGTCGAAACCGTCGACCGGTACAACCCTCAAAACATCGAAGTCTTGGAAAAGTACGTGGACGACAACATGGCGAACGACGCCTACGACCGTGACGCCTGCCTCGCTGTCCTCAAGCTGTACCAGTTCAACCCAACCTTCAACAACTCGGTCGTCGTTTGCAACATCCTCGCCCTGGCTCTCGGCGCCCTTCCAGACGCTGACTTTTCCCTGTGTCTGTACATGCTCAGCGAGGAGGTCCTTGCCGACTCGGAAGTCGCCAAGCTGGTTGCCCTCCACACCCTCCTCCAGCAGGCAAAGTTCGCGGCTTTCTGGGAGAGCCTTGCTACCGATGCTCGTGACCTCGTAGCGCCTTACATCCGTTTTGACGATCGTATCCGTGAGTACGTCTCCGGAACGCTCGCCATCGCGTACCAAGTCATCTCGAAGCAGGCCCTCGCACAGTCCCTCGGCTTCAAGACGGACGCCGCGGGTCTCGACGCTTTCCTCGCCAAGAAGGGATGGAAGGTGGATCCTACCGATGCGAAGCTCGCCGTCCTGCCTCCGACGAAGGAGAACCAGGCGCGGCCCGTCGTCGTCCAGGAGGAGATCAAGTTTGAGCACTTGACGCGGATCATCGGTTCCGGAAGGAACCAGTAGAGAGTAGAATTCACTTCGACTTCGCAACGGTCACCATCCTTATCCCCTATCACTTCGCCTGTACATTCCCTGTTCCGCCGCCCATCCTTTTCCGCCACTCCTCATGCTCAAATCATAACTTTACTTGACGACCTTCCATCTTTGCTTCATCTCGTCATCTTCGAGGGATTTGCGG